CCCCAAAAAAAAAAAAAAAAAAAAGGGTGGGGGGAAAGGAGGATGAAAGCAGCAGAGCTTTGGGAATGCTCCTAAAAAAATCCTGGAGAAATTCCGGGGCGTGTCCTCACTGTGGGGTCTTTTTCAAGGTCAGCCGGTTCCAAACCGCTCCACGGGCAGGGACGCCTTCCCCCGTCCCACCGGCCACTCCCAACCTGGCCTGGAACACTTCCAGGGATGGGGAATCCACAGCTTCTTTGGGAAGACCGTTCCAGCACCTCACCACTGCCACAGGGAGGGGTTTCTCCCCCAAAAAATCCAATTTAACCCAACCCTCCCTCAGCTCAAAACCACCTGGGGAACCTTCCTCAGGCACATCCCACCGAGGAGACGACAGGATCTCGTTTGAGCCCTAAAAACGCAGATTAAGAGCAGCATTCCCTGAGGGCAGCGGTTTCCCTGGAACGTCTGGGGTTGGATTTTCCCACTTTTCCGGGCTCACCTGTGTGGCAGCGCCGGTGGTAGATGAGCATGTGGTTCTGGGTGAAGCGCGCCCCGCACTCATCGCACACAAAGGGCTTCTCCCCCGTGTGGATCCTGCAAGGAAAAAGGGATCTTCAAACTCCAGGGAGAACCTTTCCCCCATTCCCTGGCTGCCCAATCCTTTGGGATGTGAGGGAAAGCCTCTCAGGGATGGCTGCTTTTCCTGGAGAGGCACATCCACCTGGCACAACAGATCCCAAAGGATGAGGAATTCCCACCACCGGCTGCCACCTCACCCAAACTAAGGCAGCGTTGAGTTCCCAGAATCCAAAATTCCTGAAAGGCCTCTGGGAACAGGAAAAAAAACAAAAACAAAAAACAGGTTTAACCCCTCAGAGAGGATTTTTTTTCCCCCCTCATAAAAATGTCTCTGGCCCAAGACAGATAAAATTAAGGATAAAATCACGTTAACCCCCTCAGAGACGATTTTTTCCCTGATAAAAATCCCGTCACAAAGATCAAATGGATAAATTCGGGTTAAAACCCCTCAGGGTTGATCTTTCCCTTATCAGAAGGCCCTGAGGTAGATAAAATACTGCCAAAATCAGGTTAAAGTCCCTCAGGGTTGATATTTTTCCCTCATAAAAACACCCTGGGACAGATAAAAACCCAGCGGCTCCGTGTGGGAGTCATGGGGGACGCGCCACCCCCTCCTCTGCCCACATGAAAACTGGGATTTGGGGGGGCCCTGAAAGAGAAAACTGGGATTTGAGGGGCCCTGAAAGAGAAATCAGGGATTTGGGAGGCCCTGAAAGAGAAAACAGGAATCTGAGAGGCTTTAAAGGCTGAACCTCCACATGGAAACAGGGATTTGGGGGGCCCTGAAAGAGAAATCAGGGATCTGGGGGACCCTGAAAGAGAAAACTGGGATTTGAGGGGCCCTGAAAGAGAAATCAGGGATTTGGGAGGCCCTGAAAGAGAAAACAGGAATCTGAGAGGCTTTAAAGGCTGAACCTCCACATGGAAACAGGGATTTGGGCAGCCCTGAGGGCTGAACCCCCATATAAAAATGGATTTGGGAGGCCCTGAGGGCTGAACTTCCACATGAGGAGAAAAGAAGGATTTGGGAAGCCCTGGGGACTGAATCCCACATGGAAACAGGGATTTGGGAGGCCCTGAAAGAGAAACCAGGGATTTGGGAGACCCTGAAGGCTGAATCCCACATGGAACCGGGGATTTGTGCAGCCCCAAGGAGCATACCCCACATGGAACCGGGGATTTGTGCAGCCCCAAGGAGCATACCCCACATGGAACCGGGGATTTGTGCAGCCCCACGCCCAGGCCGGCGCCTCTCCCGTACCTCATGTGCGTTTTGAGCGCGGAAGGCTGCGAGAACTTGGCCTGGCACTCGGGGCAGCCGTAGGGCTTGTGTCCCGTGTGCGTCCTCTCGTGCAGGCGCAGGGCGGTCCTGGAGCTGAGCGCCTTGCCGCACTGCTGGCACTGGTGCCGCTCGGCGCCGCCCTCGTGCACCTGCAGCACGTGGCGCCGCACGTCCTTGCCGCGCTTGAAGCGCTTGGCGCACAGCTCGCAGGGGAAGCGGCGCTCGCTGCTGTGCACGTGCCGCTGGTGGCTGCGCAGGTTGCAGCGGTTGGCGAAGGTCTGCGCGCACGTCTCGCAGCGGAACTCGGGCGCCGCCGCCGCCCCGTGGCTCTGCTGCACGTGCTTCAGGAAGCTCTTCTCGTACAGGAACTCCTTCTGGCACGTGCCGCACTTGAAGCCCCCGCCGCCGCCGCCGCCGCGCTGCTTCTTCCTGTCCCCCTCGCCGCCTTCCGCCGGGTTTTCCGGGCGGGCGGCCTCGGTTTCCCCGGAGCTCTCCTCCTGCTTGCACTGCCCCTCCTCGCCCTGGGGCGGCTCTTCCCGCTCGGCGGCGGCGGCGGCGTCGCGCTGCTGCTCCCGCAGCCTGCGGGTGTATTTCTTCTTGGGGATCTCCACGAACACCTTCCTGCCGGCCAGCCGCCCGCTCGCCCTGCGGATCTTGGCGTACGGAGCCTTCAGCGCTTCCTTCTTTCTGTCCGTCTTCTCCTTGGCTTTGGCGGCCGGCCCCTCGGCCGCGGGCGGCTCCGGGGGCTCCCGCTTGGCCTCGGCCGCGCTCCCCCCCTCGGGGCTCTGCGACTCCGAGAAGCTCTGCAGCTCCAGCAGCACGGATTCCAGCATCTGCCTCTTCAGCTGGAAGCAAGTCTCGGAGAGGTCCAGGCACTTGAGCTTCTCGGCGATCTCCAGCATGCGCTGCACCCTGTCCTCCTCCACCTCCACGCGCGCCGTGTAGACGAACTCCAGGAAGGAGGCGAAGTCGGCCACCTGCACCTCGTTGAGGAAGACGTTGCTGCGGGGGCCGTCGGCCGCCTTCTCGTTGAGGAACACCTCCTTGAAGAACTTGCTGGTGGCGGCCAGCACGGCCTTGTGCGCCGGGAACTCGGCGCGCACGCCCTGGTACTCCACGCTGACCGTCACGTCGCACAGGTGGCCCAGCAGCCGCAGCTGCTGCATCTCGTGCAGGAGGTTCAGCGGGGACGACTTGGATTCCAGCAGCACCGGATTGCTCTCCATCTTCCCGGGAACGCCGCCGCGGCTCCGTGGGGATCCGAGGAGCTCCCAGGTCCTTCACGCCCACCTCGGAGCCATCTCCGGCTCCTCGGCGCGGCCACCGAGCTGGAAGCCCACGAGAGCTTCAACGCCAAGCCTGATTTGCCAGGAAACCCTGGGACAGGGATGGAGCGGAGCCGGATCCGAGCGAAGGCACCTGGAATTAAGGAACGAGGCAGCAGGCAATAAAAGGAAGGCAAGACTAAGCACAAGGTAACGGGGCAACCCTAAAGGAACCGCCTGGAAACGCTTCCCCCGTACGATCCCGAGCTCTTCCGTGACGGATAACCGCGTCCACGCACCGAAAACCCCACGGATAACGGCAGCTCCTGCGGAAGGACTCGGGGCCTGCTCGTTCCCAAGGCCCTTTTCCAGCCCCCCATTTCCCGGGAATGTCAGAAGCTGCTCCCAGCTTTGTAAAGGGGCGGAAGTTTTGGGGCGCCGTTCCCAAATGTCCGACCCCAGAACAAACCAGGTTTCTGTGGATTTAAAGCTGCTCCGAGGAATCTGCTGAGCCCCACCCTGTTCCTACCGGAGCCCCAGGGATTTCTTCCCGTGTCCCAGGAATTCAGCCGTGTCTCACCCAATGCTCCATAAACCACATTAAGCCACACCAAATCATCTTTTACCCCGAGAAAACCCATTTCTCTTAGCTCCTCCTCGTGCTGCTGCACAAGCTCCAATTCCCATCCCGGCCGTTTCCCACAGCGCCCACTTCCAACCCCCTGGATCCCTGGGAATGCTGCCGCGGGGGAAAGGCGGGGGGAAAACGGGAGAGGAACGGGGGGCAACGGGGAGGGGAAGGGGGAGGAGGAGAAAAGGGAGGGGAAAAGAAGAGGGGGGGAAAGGGGAAAAAGAGGCGGAGTGGGGAGGAATGAGGGGGAAATGAGGCGGGGGGGGGCCAGCCCGCCGTGGCTCCCGCACTCACGGTTCCCGCTCGGGTCCCGCTGGGTTCCCGTTCCGTTCCCACTCCGTTCCCGCTCGGTTCCCGCTCCGTTCCCGCTCGGTTCCCGCTGGGTTCCCGTTCCGTTCCCACTCCGTTCCCGTTCCGTTCCCGGTCGCTGCTCCCGCTCAGCCCCGGGCGCGGCCGGAAGCGCTGACGCGCCACGACCCCGGGCCGGACGGCGGCGCGCCGGAAGTGACGCCACGAAACGCGCCGGGCGTTGCTCGGCAACGCGGCCTTCTCCCGCCCCGGCATTCCCAAATCCCGGCGTTCTTGCCGGGGCAATCCGGGAGAATGAAGGAGGGCCGGGCTGGGCGGCACTGACAGCTTTATTAAAGGAGGAACTGGTGATTTACAGCGGCCCGTAAACACACACCCCGCCCCGCCCACTCCCAATGGGATGCTCCCACAGCTTCGGGGAAAAACACAAACCTCCGGACGGCTGCAAAGGTTTCCGTGGAATAAAAACCCTCCCGAGGAGGATAAATTACCTAAATTACCTAAATTACCCCTTCAGCACCTGTAACGCTGCCGCTCCCGAGGTCACACCGAGCGCTGGGAACGGCTCCCTGCATCCCAAAGGAGAGTTCCCACCTCGAAGCGCCCGTTTTGGGGCTAAAAAGGAGTTTATAAGTACAAAAGGGAGGGCTCAGCGCCGCCGCTGTCCCCAGGCCCGGGGCTCACGCCTGCTGCCGCTGCCGCTGCTTTGGCCCTTTGTGGTTTGTGAAGTTGCCCGTGGTCCAGCGAGCAAATTCCCGGCGTGGGATCCCGTCCCGGCTGCGCCTCCGCCAAAGTCTCGATCTTGGACCAGTTGTGGTGTTTTTTCTGTGTGAGGTCGATCAAGAAGCTCCTCCAGTGAGCGTTGCGGTCGTGGATCTGGGGGGGAAAAAAGGGAGCGGGGCGGGAAAAGGGATCTGATCTTTATCTGCCAAATATTTGACTTCATCCCGAGCTAAATCCAGCAATTTTGGGATAGCGCCAGGATCCTGCGCTCCAAGTCCCAGCTCAAACACGAACGAGGCTCTTTTGCCAGCTCCGTGCCGGATTTCTGGCTCTGCTGCCATGGAATGCTTCCAGAAGCCAGCTGGAATTTCGGCACACGGGCAAAAGTCTGACTTGGGAGCTGGAAGGGAACCTCCCGTTCTGTCTTTGCTGTCACTTCCAGGACCCGGAGGTGTCTGGGAAGAGCCGAGCTCGGCGTTTTCCTGAGCTGGGAATGTGTGAATTCCTGCGGCACGGGGCCGCAGTGAGGGTTAAAGCAGCGGGGACTCTGCTGTTCATCCCTAAAAAACAACCTCAAATCCCGAGCCCTTCCTCACACCTTCCCACGGAGTCTTTTAGGAAAAGATCTGGGAGAGAAAGTGCCGTCACTTCCAGGGATGGCCACCCTCCCCCTAGGACTGGGAACGGACTGGATTGGCAGCCAGCAGCGGCAGGGAGGAGGAAAAACCCCACAAACTTCAGGAATAGGTGTCAAGGCGGCGGCTCCCCGCCCTGCCCCGAAGCTCCCGAGGGCCGGGAATTCCCGCTGGGATGGGGAATGCCGGCAGGGAGGAGCGGGAAGCTCCCGTGGGATGCCGTACCGCCGCGTACCGGCGCAGGGTGGACATGTCGGTGAAGGTTCTGTCGCAGGCCCGGCACTTGTAGGGCTTCTCTCCGGTGTGGATGCGCTGGTGGCGCCGCAGAGCTCCCGGCTGCGTGAAGGCCTTGCCGCACTGCTCGCAGAAATAGGGACGCCTCTCTGGGAACAACCACCCCGTTAGGAGCGGCTCCTCGGAGCCGGCTGGGAGAGCCGGGGGGTGTCCGTGCCAGGGGGTGGGATGGGATGAGCCCTGAGGCGCCTCCCAATCCCAACCATTCCGTGGGAAATGTTCCTCAATGCCCGCCGAGGCCGCGGCCGACCTCCGCCCCCAGATTCCTTCAGCCGCACAATCCGGGCCTCGGGGTTTGTTCAGGGTACCGCGCACGGCTCCCGTGAGCCGGGGTCAGGATGAGCCCCGCTTCCCGATGGAATTCCCCTCCTTGGAATCCAAGGAATGCCTGGATGTGGCACTCGGTGACGAGCTGGGGGGATGGGGCACAGCTCGGACCCGACGTCCTCGGAGCCCTTTCCCAAGCTCAGTGGTTCTGGGATCCCACCCCCAGCGGGAAGCAGCACAAAGGCAGAATCCCTTTTCCAGCCTGGGAATTACCTGCGTGGACGTTGCTGTGCTGGGCCAGGGAGGCTCTGAGGCCGAAGGTTTTCCCGCAGACCTGGCAGCTGTAGGGTTTGGCTCCCAGGTGGCAGCGCTTGTGGCACTTGAGGTACTCGTTGGTGGCAAAGTGCTTCCCGCACACGTCGCACCCGAAGAGCCGCTCTCCTGAGGGAAGAGAAACCGGGAATTCTCCCAGGGGGATTTATCCGTAGGAGTCGGCCTGCAAATCCCAGAGCCCAGGCTGGAAAAGGGCTCCGAGGTCATCGAGTCCGACCTGTGCCCAATCCCGGCCCCGGCAGCGTCCCCGGGCACACTCAGGCATGGGGACTCCATCCCATTCCAACCCTGAGAACCCTTTCCAGGAGGGATTCCTTCCCGATAGCCTCCCCTGGCGCCACTTGAGGACGTTCCTCTCATCCTATCCCTCGGTCCTTGGGAGCAGAGCCCAAATCCCCCCCGGCTCCTCTCAGGGAATTGCGGAAAGCAACAAAGTCCCTCCTCTTCTCCAGGCTACAAGTCCTTCTATCCCTATGAATTCCTTCCTGGTACTTGGATACTCTTCCAGGAGTTACAAAAAAGGGAGCATTTCTTTCATATCTCAGCAATAAAACAGGAAAGGGGTGGGGAAACCAGCTGGAATATTTAATTCCCACCTGTGTGTGTCCTTTTGTGGCCGGTGAGTTTTCCTCTGTCGGCAAAGGAAGCGCCGCAGTCCTCACAAATGTAGGGCTTCTCCCCGGTGTGGGATCTAATGGAGACAAAACACCGGTGATTAGGGATTAATTAGGTCTTGATCCCTGAAATGCTGGGCCTGAAACGACGTTTGGGTTTGAAATGTAGTGGGAAAAGGAAATTCTGCTCCCTCAAAAAACAGAGTGTCTCCAGGAGTAAAATTCACATTTAAAATTTACCTTTTAAAATTTAAAACTCACCTTTTAAAATTTAAAATTCCCCTATTTAAATTTACCTTTTAAAATTTAAAATTCCCCATTTAAATTTACCTTTTAAAATTTAAAATCCCCACTTAAAATTTACCTTTTCCTCACTTTTAGGCCCTACAAAATCCACCTTTTTTTTTTTTTTTTTTTCCTCCCCAGGCAGCTCAGAGCATGGGAAAGGGGAAAGAAGGGAAAACGACAGAAAGTGACAGAGAATCAGAAAAATCTGAGCCTCAGTGTTTGGTCTTAACTTATTCCAACCCAAACAGGACGACATCCAAAATCATTCCTGATTCTGAGCCGTCAGGACAAAGGATTGTCATCACTCTTGCTCCGAAGAGGGGGAATTCCACGGGATGATTCACCCTCTCCTGGGAGAGGACACATCCACGCAGACACCACCACCAGGGAGCAGCTCCTCCCGTCAAGCTGCAGCCGAGCGGCGCGGATCTGGAGCTGCGCACGGAGATGAAATCCCATGGCGATCCCTTGCTCCAGGACCCGCTGATCCAGGATCCCTGACTCTCTCTTCGTCACCGAGGGCCGGCGTGGGATTTTAGAGCCTGTCCCGAATGACGGACATTCCTTGCAAGTTTGGCCGGGGCATCCGTGTCGAAACCCCGACCGCGGGAAACACGGCAGGGAGCCAAAGCCTTCGCCTAAAGGGGGATTCATCACGGATCCCACCGAACCCGATATCCCGGCGTTCCTGCTCTAAGGGGCAAGCAAGGGGCACGGCTGGAGTCTGACCTGGTATGGATCTTGAGCTGGGACGGCTGAGCAAACCTGGAGCGACACACGGCGCACTCGTAGGGCTTCTCGCCGGTGTGCGTCCGCATGTGCAGCACCAGCGCCGTGCGGGAGCTCAGCATCTTGCCGCACACGGAGCACAGCGGCCGCTTGGCCCTGCCCTCGTGCTTCCGCACGGAATGGCTCCTCACATCCCGCTTCCTCTTGAAGGTGGCCTGGCAGAGGCCGCAGGAGAACCTCCTCTCCTCGCTGTGCACGCAGGCGCGGTGCTCCTTGCAGCTGGTGGAGCTGGCGAAGGCCTTGCCGCACAGCTCGCAGTGGTAGGCCTTGCCGGGCAGGCTCTGGTGCGCGTCCCGGCAGTGATCCACGTACTGCTTCCGGGAAACAAACTGCTTCTGGCACTTGTCGCACTGGATCACGCACAGGGATTTCTTGTTGGCCACGCTTTTACCGGCCTTCTTTAGCTTGAACCCCGCTTCGGGTTCGCTGCTGTCCTTCTCTGTTGAGGCTTCCTCCTCCTCCTCCTCCTCCTCCTCCTCCTGGTGACATTCCTTGTTGTCTCTGCTTCCTTCAACTTCCGAGTATCCCGCGTCGTATTCTCCCTGCTCCTCGCCCTTCACACTCATTCCACCTTCATCTTCATTCCCTCCTTCAGCTTCCTGGGATTCCTCTTGCTCCTTGCTCCTTTCTGCTTCAGCAACGGAGGAATTCCCGGGGTCTTCCTCGCGCCCCGAGGTTTCCGGTGTCCCATCCCGAGTCTCTCCGTCGGGATCTCTGCTACGGCTTGTGGGGTTTGGGCCGTGTGGAGGTGGAACCACCATCCAGTAGACAGGCAGGAGTTTCCTCTCTTGCCCAGACTCATGGATTTTCCTGTTAAAAACGGAGCACAACTTCAATTAAATTTATCTGAAACTCATTCACTGTTTAATTGTTTCAACTCGGGCCTTGGGGGAAGAGTCCGTTCCTTCGAATTGTTCCTTGCGCCGTTTAAGAAATTCGCAGCATGTTTGGAAAGCCTACAAATAGGGGGAGTTTGGGAAGAGTTGGACTGGATAACTGAGGACAATTAAAATGCCTCAGTTCATTAAGGTCTGCGTTTTTCATCTCAGCAGGAACGTAGGATGGACTTTTCTTCCCAGGCCGTGAAATTACGGATTTAAACCAAAGGAAACAGGGATTAAATGCTCAGAGAGAGACACAAAATTCCTATTTATAACCCCAAATCTGGGGATTACAAAGAACTCCAGTTGCACAATCCAACAGGAAATTCCCTGAATTCCCCATCTGGGAGACCCCAATCCAGTCATCCACACCGCGCGGCCAAGAGAAAAATTCCCATTTCAACCCGCTCCGAGTCAGATCCAAGGAATCCCGGAACGAAGGCAGGGAGGACTCCAGGAATGCTTTATCCCGGGATCCCTGGGCAGCGCATTCCCGGCAGTTCCGTACCTGAGGTGGGAGGTGCAGGCGGCCCGGTGGGCGAAGCCCCGGTAGGGCCCGTCCCCGCCGCGCGTCCGGCCGCGCTCGGAGCCGATGGCCTCGTCGCAGTAGGGACACGCCTGGCATTCCCGCTTCCGCTCCTGCCCCTCGCCCAGGGAACGGCCATCCTGGTGTTCCAGGCTGCTGACGGCCACACCCAGTCCCGATGGGGAACGCGTCTCGTTGCACTTGGGCAGCTTTGCCGGCCTGGATTTGGGGGCTGGGAAAGCTGCGGCCTCCCGCTCCAGGCCTCCCGCCTGGCCTCCCATGAGCTCCGGCAGCAGCTCCTGATGCTTCTGCCTATCCCAAAGTTTCCTCTGCATGGGAATTGCCACGACCTGGGCGGAGTTCCTGGGGTTCTCCTCCTGCTGGATGCCAGGCCACTGCGATCCCCCGTTCTCACCCCTCCGCCCCTTCAGGCGGAGGCTCAAATCCAAGCCCTTCCTGCCCTCTGCCTTCACTTCTTCACAGATGTCCAGCAAATCCTTGCATTCCAGCCTTTCCGCTATTTCCTTCATCCGCTGGAGCTTTCCCGCCTCGATCTCCACCTCTGCCGTGTAGACGAACTCCAGGAAGGAGGTGAACTCCTCGGTGTAGATGTCCTGCAGGGTCACCGTGCACTTCTGGGCGTCCAGCGTCTCCTGGTGCAGGAAAAGCCCCCTGAAGTAGTTGCTGGAAGCTGCCAGGACGGCTTTGTGAGCCAGGAATTCCTCCTGAATTCCCAGGTGCTGGGTGAGGACCGTCACGTCGCAGAGGTGCCCGAGCCGGTACAGGGAATGCAGAGCCCTCAGGAGGTTGGGAGCAGCAACCTTGGACTTCATCAGGATTTTCCTCTTCTCCATCCTGCCAGAAGGAAACAGAGAAACGCTGGAATGATTTTTCCTATCCCTCCACTCAAGTCTGGCAGGGAAAGCCCAGCGGAATTCCACGCCCTCATTCCTTGCTCACCCCGCAGGGGTGGAATTGTAGAACCTCTGGGGTCGGAAGAGACCTCCAAGCTTGGATGGACCACCAGCACCTGAACTAAACCATCTCCCAGGAGCAGGAAATTGAGGGAACGCCGGCACAAGAGCGTTGCCTGTATTCTGTCGGAAAAGGATCGCTCACATCCGCATTCCTACCGGGCAATTCCCACGGCCAGCAGGGATCTCCGCAACGCTCCCGACCCAACACCTGCCAGCTGTTCCCACCTGGAGACACAACCCCGGCCCACCGGCAGCCGTGCAGATCCAGAGGTTCGGCTCCAAAATCCACAGGAGCTTCCAGCCCTTCTGCTGCCTCCGTGGTTTCCAGCAGGAAATCCCGGGTTGTGTGCAGTGCTTAGAGAAATCAATGAGAGCAGCACCTGCTAATTCCCTGCCGCTCCTTTGCCAGATTCCCGCCTGCGATAAGATCCCGATCCGCGCTCCCGCGGGAGCTCCTCTGACACCAGGACCTGACATGGAGCCCGATGGGAGAGATAAGTTCCAGGATCATCTCCGAGTTCAGCTGCTTCTGGATTAACACACCGCCCCCCACCAGCAACTGAAGCATCTTTCCACAAATCCATCAATTCCCACCATGTTTTCCTTCAGGAAAAAAACCCAATGGGATTTCTATTTTCCGTTCCCGTTCGGAAGCTGATCTTCGGTTTTCCGAAGTGCTGCCGAATGCTTAAGTCTCCAAAACACTCCCTCCAAGGGTTTAACCGAAAACCCCATTTCCTCCCCATTTTATGGCTTTGTTTGTAACTCCTTTCCAGCTTTTTCCCTGGCAATTTGGGAATAAATACTTCAAAAACGTGCACAGGTGTGCGAGATTTGCAGGAAGCGTAATTAATCTAAGAGATTATTTGGGAAGACACTTCATCATCAGAAATGTCAAAACTGCATCAGAACTGGTGCAAAACTCAATCCATATTTCAAGTACGGAATTCCTGATGAGGAATTGGAATCGGTGCAACTGGAATTGGTACAATTCCTTTAAAAAATAAAGCCCAACAGCAGCCTGAACCTCCGAGAAAATATTTATATTCGTATATTTTTATAATCTCCGTTTACCTGCTGGAAAAATTTCTGTTTTATCCACCTGAAAAATCTTCATTTATGCTCCAGAGCATCCCTATTCATCACCCAAAATCAAATCTCCATTTACCACCCATAATCTCCGTTTACCCTCCTGGAAAATCCCCACTGATGCTCCAGAAAAAACTCAGCTTGCACTCCAGAAAACTCTCCCAGGAAAATCCCCAGTGATGCTCCAGAAAAATCTGTATTTGCGCTCTATGAAAAAAAATCTGTTTACACTCCAGAGAATTTCCATTCTCCCTCCAGCAAAGCCCTGGCCAAACTCCTCCAAAAGTCCTAAAGTTTGGGTTGTTGTTTATTTTATTTATTTTTTAAATGCCGAGCACTTGTCTCTCTCCCTAAGGACTTTACCTTCGGGACAGCGCTGGGAAGGCTCCTCCCCCGAGGAATTCCAGGCTCCCTCAGGAGCAGCCCTCACCATCCTCTGGCAATGTTCCGCTTCGCTCCTTGTGCCACCGGCACAGCCGCCTTCCTCTCCCGCATTTTGAGTGCAGCCACGGGATTTGGAGCCGGACACCTGCGAAGGGCTGCAAGGAAAGCGGGGATAGGGAATGTTTATCCCGGCTTTGCCATAAAGCGCCGGGACGTCAGGGGGAGTCACCTGCGCGCTCCCGCCGCCGGCAGCAGCCGGGAATCGCTTCCCGCCGGGCAGGAGCGGCCGGGATCGCTGCCGGGAATGATTCCCGGCGTTCCCGGGGGCGATTCCCGGCGTTCCCGGGCTGTATCCCGAGGGTCCCTCCCGGCCCCGGGCCGCCCTTACCCCGCCGCCGGTTCCCGCCATGGCGGCCGCGGCCTCAGCGCCTCAGCGCCGCCGCCATCTTGAGTGCGGGCAGGGCGTTCCCACAAACCGGGGGGAAAAAAACCCTCAAAAACCCCCCAATCCCGCCTTAAATCGACCCGAATCCGCAAAAAAAAGCGCTCCCGAAACGATCTGGGAACGGTTTGTTTCCGCGCTTTTAAAAAGCCGGGTTTTATCAGGTGAAATGACCTCGGTGATGCGCGTCCTCAGGTGCTTTAAATGCAGCCCGCTTCGCTGGGGCAGCTCCTCGGGCTCTCCCGGTGTGGATCCCGGGATATCCGTGAGGATCCCGGGATATCCACTGGGGATCCTGGGAGATCAGTGCCAGAGTTAAGGGAGGTGTTCATAAAAACCAGTACAAAGCTGTGAACTTTAGCGGGGTAAATCTGGGATTCGGAGAAGTGCAGGGTCTCCCTGTTTCTTCCCGCTGGTGGTCTCATGTTCCTGTCTTTTATCACATAAAATCATTTGAAAGTGGGCTGCCGAGTAGTTCCAATCTTTTTTTCAGAGATGAATTCCTCCTTTGAAGCATTATTTTTTTCCCCTCACTTAAATGCAGGTTTTAATCTTCACATTTTAACAGCTTGTAAAAATGTTGGATGACTGCAATTCCCTGAGGAAATGTAAAATAAGTTCCTCCATAAAAAAAAAACCAAAAAATCAGGAAAGGCAGACATCTGCGTTAGCCACGTTTTCAATCCTGATTATTTCGTTTGTAGCCAGGGAATGTTTCTATTGTCCAGACACAGCTCTCGGAGCGGTAAGAACGAGCGGCAGTGCGAGCGAGGCGTGTGGAAAATGTCAGGATAATATCCCTGCATCTTCGCACGAGGGATCCGTGTTTGCTTTTCCTTTATCGCGAAACTCGGCAGCTCTCACCCAGAGGAGCTGGGCAGCTCCCGGCCAATTCACTCTGGATTCCACGAGGATGGAGGGAATTTCTGGGTACACTGCTGGGCTGTGTCCGTGTGTCGGTCCCAGGAGGGATTTTCCCAAGGCTGAATTTACACTCTGCTCTTTGCCACCAGTTTTGTTTCTCAGGAGATCCACTTGATTCTCCAAATGTTCCGGGTGCTCGGATGCACTTCAGGGGCTCCCTAGAGCCCATGGAATTCTGCATGTCTCTCCTGTGGGGAGGAAGAAGGAAGAGCATCATAGCTGCTCTTTCCCAATCCTTAATTTCGGAACTTCAACAGGAGGGATGAAACATGTGGGAGGCAGCTGTGGGAAATGCCAATCCCGTGTGTCTCGCGGTGGGTGAAGCATTCCAGGCGCCGGGATGGCGAAATAAAACAACCTGTTAAGCCAAAACAACAAAATCCAGGGAAGAATCGGAGCCTGGGAACTCAGATTTTATCTGAGCACTTCCCCTTGGTTGGGAGTGGAGGGATACCTGGGGCTTTGATTGATCTTGGTGACTAAAACCAGGAAAAGGGGGAAAAACTGGGAGTCGGCTCTGCCAGTCAGGTTCTGCTCCTGATCCATCGGGTGTTTGTGTTTGAGGTCAGCCAGGACATCTCCAGCAAAGCAAGGGTTGGGAATGTCCCCAGATCCCAGGTTCCTTCCCCCTGGAGCACAGCGGGCCTTGGCGATTTTGGCTCTTCCCAGCAAAGCTTGGGGGACATTTTAGAGCCCCCCAGGGAAACATCCTGGTGTGTTTTCCATGGATGGATATCCCTTCCGTACGGCTCCACCAGAGGATGCTGCAGACTTCGGAAAGAGCAGCCCTGACTGTGGCCCTGCTCATCCCTTTAATCCAGAGGAATCCAACCCTGGGTATCAACCACGACACTGCAGAGAGAGCTCCCAAAAGCCTTTCCTCAGGAGCCGAGTAAACCTCCGGATCATCCCCGAAGCAGGGACAGGGCTGTCAGCGTGGGCTAAACACGCAAATTCCAGAGAAAATCCTGATGGGAAGCACAGAGCAGGCCTTGCTCCATGTGTCAGCACCGAGCGCTGCTTGTCTCTTGTTCTGCCTAAGAAATTTTGGCATGGGACCATGCTACAAATCAAACATCCCACGGATTCTCCCCGTCACGCTCAGTCTCAAGGAGCAGGAGTTCCGTGTATCCCGGCAGAACGCTTCCAAGATCCTGCTGTCACTCGAAAACCACAGGAATTGAGGGAAGTCCCCGTGTGTTTTGTATGAAAAAGGAGATCTTAGAATCCTAAAAACCAGCAAAGTTGAATTCCCACTAAGGTTCTGGTGGGGAAAACCTGGATACCAGAGCAAACCAAGAGGGAATAGGAGAAGGCCTTTAAGATCATCAAGTCCAACCATCAAATTCCAAGATCATGGAATTGTTTGTGTTGGAAGGGACCTTAAAGATGATCCGGTCCCACCCCTCCCTGCCACGGGACACCTTCCAGTGTCCCAGGGGTCTCCAGCCTGGCCTTGGGCACTTCCAGGGATCCAGGGGCAGCCACAGCTTCTCTGGGCACCCTCCCAGGGAGGGCACCTTCCCAGGGAACAGTTTCTTCCCAATATCCCGTCTGTCCCTGCCCTCTGGCAGCCGGAAACCATTCCCTCTTGTCCCATCATTCCAAGCCCATGGAAATAATCTCTCTTCACATGTATCTCCGTCATGTCCTGGCCCGGAGTGCCGCATTTGGGGCACCCCAAAGCTTCTCTTCTCCGGGCCGAACGCTTGGAGCTCTGGAAAACCTGGAAAACCGATGGCTGTTACGGACCGAGGCGATAAATAAATTAAATAAACTAGAATGAAACCAAAAATAAGGAACAAATCAACGAAAAGCCCTTTTCAGCCCTCCATGTTCCTGGGGTTATTATGGAGCCCACACTTCGGATGCCAGCTCCGTGTTCCTGATGTGGGGACACACCCAGGAGTCCCTGGAAGGGCTCCCACCAAAGCCAAGACCCCGCTTTTGGGAAGGTTTCTCCGGAACGAGCTCGGAGCCAGCTCAGCACCACCCCGGGCACGAAGGCTCCCAGGATTTTGGCTCTGGGCTGTGAATTCCGGACTCTCCCTCTCATTTTTCCCGGGAGCTCATTCCTGCGAGGCGGCGCCGGCGGCGGGATGCATTCCCACAGCTCCAGGGGAAGAGGGAGCAGGGCTGCTTTGGAGTTAATTCCCTGCAATGCTGACCCCACGCTCCTGACAAGTGATGTGTTAGGGCGATGGGAATCCAAATTCCGGGATTCATCTATGATGTTTTCCTTCTGGCACGAAATAAATCCTCGGCACAGATCGTTCGCTTGTTTATCGCACATTTTTAAGCTCTTGGCGAACTTCTTCCCCTTCTTCTCCCAAATATTTTAACCCCTGCTAAACCCTGGGCATCAAACCCGGGAAGTTGCCTCTGGAAGCAAAGGATTTCCCATCACATTCCATGGATATTGAAGGTCTGATCCATGTATTTTTAACTCCTTAACACGGCCGGTCAAGCCCAAACTGAAATGGTTTTGAACTGATTTTTTGTATAGTTGAGTTTGAAATAGTTGATGCTGGAATACCCTAAAGATCCCGTTTTCCATCCGGGATCTGGGAAACAGGTGGGTAATGTTTAGTCTCCGGCTAAAAGACAGGATGTTAATGCTTTTCCCGCTTGGAAAGGAGCTGCCTCCTGTTTAGTTACAGTTCAATATAAAACAAATATTCCATTAGCAAAAGGAGGCGGGGGGAAGATCCCGGTTTTTTCCTCTCTCTTCTCCACAGGGTCCCTTCCAGCTCAATATTCCACCAGAAATCTGTACGGAATGCAGAGGATCCCGAGGAATGAATTCAGATTAGCACCTTGCTCCCAGCCAGAAGGAATCCAGCAAAACAACCCCCAAAGTTATTCCTAATGGCAAGAAAAGAGGGAATTCTTGCCAGATTTACCCTCCTGTTGTTCCAAGACACCGATTAAAAGAGTTGCTGATTTCATGGAGGTGATTCCGGACAAATTCCAGCTGATCCCAGCTGTTCACCAGGGGAAATGATAAGGAAAATAAATCTGAATACATTGGATGAAGTGGTATTTTTCCAACAGCTGGCTGTTGGAACAGGAATGTTTTTCCGTTGCTCCCCAGAGAGCAGCATTCCCTCTCAAGATCCCAAACTTCTCGTCCTCCTCCGGCAGCCTCTTGACTTTTAGCCACCGGAACGATCCCAATATTTTGTTTTTTAACGCAAAACTCTCTCCTCCCAGCAATAACATTTTCCCCCCAGTGTTTATTTTTCCTTAGTGCTGAGCGCTCACCGCGGTTGGCGAATCCAAATTATTTGGGGGAGAAACGGGAATGTCAGTTTATATCTGCGTCCCGACCCCCCGAGTGTTTTCAGGGAGAGCGTTCCTGCCTCCAGGTGCTCCTGCAGGGATGAGAAAATGCCCTTTTTAAAATCCCGGTTTGAGTGCGGAATCTTGGCACGGGGATGATTAAACGTGGAAGGAGCAGCTGCCTGGAGAAACAAACACCTGGCAAAATATTTTGGGGAATTTCAGGATGAGTCATCCCGGGCCGTGCTGGGGAAGCTCGGCCCCAGCTGCAGCTCGGGAGGTCGGCTTTTAGTCCCGCAGAATCCCATGGAATTACTGAGGTTGGAAAAGACCTCTGGGATCGTCGAGTCCAACCTGTCACCCAGCCCAGGAGTGCCTCATCCAGGTATTCCTTGGACACTTCCAGGGATGGGAATTCCAAACCTGTCTGTGCTGTTCCAATCCTTAACAAACCATCCCATGAAAAAATTCCCGTCTCTT